AACTGGAGTACTAAGATTGATGACGAAATCAATAACTTTCTTCAACATCACACCAGAGGAATGTTAGTTTTGAGTGAAACTCAGAAAAAACCTTTGATTTATATTCTGAGGATGGATTTCTTCAAAGTTCATCTCCAACTCACGATGTCCTATTAATAGCATTACTTCTGCCTACTGCCTCATTTATTTTCAACGAAAGGTGCGATGTAGTGTATCCATCAGAATGATGAGATGTGCGCAAAACTTGAACCTTGACGAATGTGTGATAGACTCGAGCTGTGGCTAACCTTTCGGGTGTAGAGCTTTAGCATGACTGAGTTCAATGCAGATTTATCTGCTCCGGATCAATCCCGCTGACAGGTGAGCTCTGATTGCTAACGAACACAATCCAGCTGACAGCAAGGCAGATCGAGTGGCTTAATCGCGTAGGACGAACGCGCGCTGCTACGCATAGGGCAGCTGGGTTCGAGTCCATCGCACTTACATTAGATATAGAACTGTGCTCGTATCTTAACATTCTTGTGAGTTATGTTTCATATCGCATCTTGATTTTCGCTTCGGAGGCGCAGGTTGTCAACTCATTGAAATGCTAAGAATTTCCTCTCAGAAACTATGATTACTTGGCCTTCGTAGAGACAAAACTAAAATTGACATTTTTTTATGGTAAAAAACTCTTTGAGTCCTATGATATCTTTGAAATACTTATTGAACAGTGATCAATAGTTACTTACTAAATTTTACGCCAACATTTACTTCAAGAACACTCGTGTTTCATGTATAGTGTAATGATTGGATTCGTATCACCTGTATCACTTGTCGTCTCGTCGGTCGACGAATGACCACACTTGAGCGGGCACCATCAACACTTTCCCTACCGCATGGAAGAGTAAACCAGTGGGTCCTTCTCGCACTAAGGATTGTCAAGCATCATATCTTCCTTCTAGACTTTCCGGAAAGGAATCCGAAGCATTGGATCGGTGGTCTTCCTGTAGAGCGCTTGATATCTCGAGGAATCCGGTCGGTAACGGCTCGTAACAGGATGTATTTCAAAAGAAGTAAGCCGAAGCTGTGCCACTAGATCGTTCAATCGTCTTTTTCTCAATCATTTAAACGTGTAGGGAAATGCTTGGTCAATCTTTTTGAAAAAACTTGTTACTTTCGTATTTCACCACATCGATAGTTGCTTATAAAAAAGTAAAAAAATTCCGTCAAACACTGAACATTATACAAATCTAAAAGTGCAATTGATTTTCAACTATCATTGCAATTTTGGTGGAACGAAATCCAAATGCTCTTAAAGACCAAAGTGCTATTCTTTAATTTATAGTCGTATAGTGGGCTTTAAATCATATAAAAATGCATGGAATGAAAGATTATGGATTGAGTAGGGATGACCATAGCGGCTTGTTGGTAAAAACTGAAAGGAGTGAGGAGAAACAGAGCCCATTCCAGTCTTTAGTGGGGCGTTTGTGTTGTAGTAGTTACAACAACCTTGCAGTGCGCAAGTGGTCATTGGTTCGATCAGTCGACTAAGCAAAATTAACTTTCTGTTCCTCCGGGATAGGCAGATTGGAGGCAAATTTGTCTACTTGGAGATAAACGTTAAGTCTAAATATGCATTTAGTCACATCTACGATACGCATTTGCGAACGCTTGGTCCACACGACTCACGGCAAACCTGGCCACTATTCAAAATGTTTGAAGTTCTATGTGAATCGAAATCAGTATTTAATAGTAATGATAAATCGGAAAAGGTACGGCAAACTAGGAACTCAAGATTATCATTTTACTGTTCGTATTGTAGACTGTAGTTTTTACAACATAAATGAAAAATTTGCAATCTATTGTAAATTTTGAGTTAAATGATTGGCATTGCCTTGAAATCGGTGCATCGAAACATCCGAAGTATGTATGACATCTATAGATGTCACGTGCAGTTTAAGTGTTGATCCAATTGCACGAATTGTAAATCTCCCAGAGATCTATCAGTACTCCACGCTTTGTCCTGTGGTCTCTTATCTGCACAGACTTTGAACTTTAAAACTATTCTCTAAGAGTCAACGCATCTTATCTGCTTTGTACAGTGAAATTAGAACAAATAAATAAAGTCTTAAGTCTTAAAGTCTTAAGTTAAGTTAGCAAGTTAGTCTCGAATTGCGATGAAGTAACTCACTCCTTCACCATACATGGAATGATTAGGACAGGAAAGAAACTCAAATCACTTAATTAGAATCACATGTTTCTATCGATTTAATGGACGGAGGAGATGTAGGAGCAGTATTGGAAGCGGAGGTGGATGACTTGAACGCTCTGTTCAAGGCACACACGCCCTTGTTTTATTTCGAAGCTGACGAGCAAGGTCTGTCAGTCTGATAAAGGTGTGACACGGTAATCTTTTTATCAGCCATTCGCAACAGATTGTCATATCGTCCGGAAGACTTCATGTTTTAGAAGTTATAGCATTGTTCTAAATGAGATACGAAACAATGACATTCTTAATAAAATGTCAATAATAAATATGACAACGTCATCACTCATGCCCAAATTGATCAACGCCGTAGAGCTTTTCTCTCGTTTTTCGTCATCAAAAAATACTCGACTGTATGAAGAATGCGTGAATAGAGCGAAGCAGAAGAAACTGCAAATATAAATCTGGATGATTTCCACAAAGTTCAAACAGCTTCTTCGGAAAAAACACACACACACAAAAGATTTGCAAATTTGGAGACGTCACGTTCATTATGGACAATCGAACGGTGGAAAACTCGTTCTGACTATAATTTTGCCCATCTTTATGTATTTCCACCAAAGCCGGGTGAAATCAATTTTTTCTACTATTTCCTTATTGAATAAGTTTATCCGGATATTCCAGAACTAAAATACAATAATGATATGAATGCGTAGGTCATTTCATAGCAAATTCATAGGATTTGAGTACTTTTGTAGCGTAAATAAACATAGAGAGATAGAGAAATAAAGACTGAAACCGATTCTGAAGATAGCCATAGAAGATTTCACGGTTTTTAGAGAATGTGATGAGTGAGTTTGACGATCCATCTGCCGAGCAGCGACAAAGCGTCACATTCGATTTGACGTCGTGAGATTGAAAGAGTGAGAAAACATCAGATACATAGAGCGTGGACTCGAATACGAATGAAATGATTGCAAAAGTGTTAAGATGCTCGAAGATGAAGAATAAATAAAGAAATAAGCAAAAATTCACGAATGGATTAAATCACATGTATTATACAAATTTTGAGCAAACTATTGTTTGGGATAGATAAATACTCACAACATTCTAAATTAAGCAAGTAATGATCCGGGAATAAGCGTGAAGACACGTGCAGCAATGAGAATTTTCCAGCAGTGGTGTTCACTGTTGAGCAATTTATAAAGTTAACAAGTGCGCCTTGTCTGCAAATTTCCCCGCCCTTATGCGTATCGACACATACATTGTGTACTAGTAAGCACCACAGAGGCAAAATACAAGTTGGAACGCTTTTTTAAGTAAATCGAAATGCAGACAAAACAATTGCAAGAAGATAAAATTCCTTGTGATTTACCCTCCTCTAACGGCGTCACGATGCTAAAAATGTACTCTCATGATATAGAGTGATGTACAAAACATTTGTGTCAGGCAAGACTTCGACATGTATCTCACCAAACCCGGGGCCCATGCGTTATCCCTTGGACCGCCGATGCCTGTTTTGCTCCTTCTACACTACTGCGCACCTAACTGTCAGCAACCAACCGTCGACGGTTTGGTCCAAGTAGTCGCGGTAGACATGGAACCCAGTCACTCTGACAGATATTGGGTATTAGATGATCAATTATAAGGAATAAACAATTATGTAAGGGATAAAGCACGAGCTCCGGATTGGTGATTTGCGGTTTCAAGTCCCGCCTAATGCAAATGTTATGCACATCACTCTATATCAATGGGTATAATTGCAAGAAATCTTTTGTTAACGCAGTTTGCCTTAATTTCTCAAGTAGTTGAATCACATCCTAAAATTACTACAAAATATAAAAAATCAGCTCTTTTCCACAAAATCCAAGCAAATGGGCAAAACGACAAGTTATAAGATTAGACGTATGTCACCACAGAGTTGATTTGATTGATTTTTGTAAGCGTCTTAACTATTTTTTTTACGCTATATTCTCTTTTTATTCGCTACTTGTCATGAAAATTGACGTACACGATCTGTAGTAGTGACGGAATTCGAATGAGTGAAAAAGTCATTAATAAAACCTTGTTCACTTTCAGCGCGCGTAGAAGCGTACGCTGAGCACTAGTCACTAAAAGACACGAAAAGATAGTCAATGGATCACACATTTTTAATGCTTTTTGGAAGACGGTATTCACATTTGAATCGATGAGTTCCACTGTAGAGCTAATATGCCGTCATACACTGGCATCTTGAAGACACCTTATGATCCATCAACCTGTGTCATCTGACAGAGAGGAGTTTCTGTAAATGAACGCCCCGTCCAAATGGAAAGCGATGAGTAGTGTTACCGGCATTTTCCGATAGTTGTGCAGAAAATTGATGCCAATCACGTGCATTTCCGGCGGAATACAAACAGCTTGTGATGGTATGACGACCAAACAACTCATTTCTAAAGGAAGAGTGCATAAATGAAGAATACAAATCAGAGTCTCGAAAAGGCATAGTTTGGCCTCAGTCAACCCTTACGTCTGCGCCGTGTATTTGGTCGCACCAAATATCGCAGATAATGAAATGCATTACTAGCCTATACAGTGATTACGCGAGACGATCGATATATGAAGTGGTTTTTACTCTCCCAGAAAGTTCTAGCACAAATTTAGCGACCGCTGAAAGTATGGAGAGCTTCGTATGACCTGAGCGAAGAAAAGAATCAAAGAGCACATGAGTTTTTCAAGGCGCCTCTAACCACTGTAACATACGTTTTACAACCGGCTCATGAAGTTGTGATATTTAGACATACTCAGTGATGTAGAGTGATGTGCAAAACTTTGCGTCAGCCGGGACTTGAACTCACATCTCTGCCTATCGAGGAGTGCGTGCTCTAACCAGTTACACTACTGACGCTCACCTTGCCACCTTTTTACGCTACAACACATCTATCTACCAGCAATCAACTGTCAACGGTGTGGCGCATTAGTCGGTATCGACGTTGAACGAACACGCTACAAATATTTGGTTTTGGATGATCAAATCGAATTCTTTCTAATTAACCACTTCAGCGGTGGTATTCTGTTTTAGAAAACCCAGTGATAAATAAATTTAGACATATCCAATAAAGCGTCCTAATGCGATTATGACCATGTGATATGTTGAGTATGGGTTAACATGACTTCTGGTATAACGTATATTAGTCGTCCAGTCAAATCAACATGATATTATGTTTAGGCTAAAGAATACGGAAATGCCATTGCTTCCCGCGTGGCTACTTTGGTCACTGTCGAACTCTCCTCTTCATATGCACGAGAGGGCCATAGAAGCAACAAGATGGACGAATGTGTAGACAATCACTACTTAGCAAAGTTAGTGTATTCGCTCAGAAGATGACTGATGCTAAATGATCAGCAGTATTATGGATTCGGAGAAGAAACTTCACTTCCATAACATTCGAACTCAATGCAAGATTAAGGTCCATTTTGTAAGCAATATTTCGGAGTACAATTTAGTTTTATCAATTTCTTTTCTGTATTATGCTGCTTTAGCATGTTTTGATGACGCGATTCGTACCAGAGAAGTACAACAGGATAAGAGAAATTCCGGGGCATCGCGAGCATACGACGAGTTGATCCCTTCCCAATACACATATACCACAAAATTTTTACGATGTGGCTGAAAGGTAAACAGTGAGTGAGCATAAGACCTTCGTTGATCACAATATCTTTCCCGCGCCACAGGCAAAACTCTCTAAGCTGCCCATACGACAACTGTATGCTTGGTAGTATTCAGCTAATATGATAATTATGTGGATGGCTGGACATAGTTTGTAATTTCAAAAATCAAGTGTTAAAGAGTGCCCTGTATCCCTTTATGTGCATTTGTCTCAATACTCAAAGAAATCATATAAAGCGCCACGACATTCTCGGCATTCTGTGTAATTCAGACATTAGGGCTAGGAGCGATAGCTATTTGTGAAGTCATACAAGTGGTGCTGCTTGAACATCACCGCATGCTCCTCTCCTGATCCTGGTATAACTCGACTGATCTTAACTGTGAAGTCCGTAGCTTTGGATCCGATATGTTGAAGTTGTTCATCAGTTCAGATATCGGTTGCGCAGTAGTATTTCCAGCTATTTAACTGTTGCTTTTTATTTGCATAAAAAACTCTTAGCAGTCCAAATTTAAGACAGAATCAACCAAACTCGAGGCACGTTAAAATTTTCATAAATGAAATATGACGGCGAGAGACAACCGCGTGCAACAATGGGCAAAAAGAGCAGTGTTCTATTAACTGCTCGTTTTGCTACAAGCTATATAGCTATTCATCTAACTTATTTGTAATCATCGATCTTGATAATGTGGTCCATTGGCACTCATCACTTTCAACAAGGATAATCTAAATAAAAAATGTCAGCGATCGACAATGTTCCAAAAAGTTGTTTATCACCTTCGCCTTAAGGCGTTTAATAATGTTCTTTGAGCTCAAAAAATTACAGGACTCTGATTTCTTGATTTCATTTGTTTCGTACTTTGAAACGTGTCTAGGACTACAGCAGTGTCGCCAATCATTACGTACAAGGCCTGAGTTCATTCCACATTGTGAGCCAATACCCCAGGAGTCAGAAAATTAGCATTACACTTATGTAGAATAAGTCTCTATCTGCGGTCCACAGACGATCGTGTAAGCCTGTGATGAAGATTTGGGAGTTGCAACCATCCTAGGGTTCTAGAAACGATCAATTCGGCTAGCACTTGACGAAATTCATAAAGAACGACTAAAATCCTTAACTAGTAGCTGAATTCACACGTGAGATCTCTAAACATTCATAAATAATGTATGCAAGTAAACGAATCGAATGTAAGAACGAGAAATGTGCTATAATCCGGCCGATCTACAAGTAAGGTTACGTCAAACAAAAAAAAAAAACCTACTTTGCTTGTAATTTCTTCATGTGCTCACTTTTGTCTCAGAGAGGAGTAAATTGAATACCACAAAAATCGATCCAGGTTCTAGTAAATGAAATCCGTATGAAGTTAAAATCCTCCGTTACCAAGTGTGAGACATCTGGCTGCTCTCATAATTACACGGCACATGCCAAAGTCACGGATATGGTAGGTATAACAAGTGGTTAGAAGCGACCGTGTGCTTGCCCTATGACCTGACTGGATTTGAGACATGGATGAGCTCATATCGCAGCTGCATTAGACTTGTTCAATTTTCTGGATGCCTATATACACACGATTTTTCTTCACATGTCGTAGACAACGCTGCTCTTGAGCAAAATTCGTTGTGCACGCAGATGATCGTGTTGGTGTGCCAATTCGACCATCAATTGTGGACATTCTATTATCTCTTGTTTTTGACGTGTTGTGTGTAGCTCCTATGGTTCTTCTCAAAATCACGAAAAGCCGGACTAGCTTACTAAATCTCAAAAATAGGTAACAGAGAACCCCTTGCGGATTGAAGAATGCCCTTTTGAAAATCAAACTTCTTTACGACAGCAAGAATTCTTGCAGTAAAGGCGGTTCCTGACTAATCTACCTAGGAGACCTATTATAGAGGATTGAGCATAGTTACGAAGCATGAGCTTTTTTGGTTCCATGCATAGCTACTGGCTCTTGCATGAAAGCGTGGAATTATTTACCAGTAGTAATATTTCATAAATCCGAACAAATTCGACTTTTTTGACAGGCTGGCAAAATTGTTCATGGTTATGTAGTGGTCGAAAAAAAAATCTGACTTATCTGACAGAAGTAAACGCATTTGAATGAGTAACAACCGTTTCCCTAAGCTGATCATAGTAGAAGCTGCCTCTTTTTAACGAAATCATAAACAAGAAATGAAATGAGCCGCTCAGAATAGTATTATTAGAAGATAACGTGGTTTATGTTGCTCAAAGTATGAATAAGCACATGTTTATGAGGGAGCTAAAATTTTCAGTCCTTTTGAAAATTTCTGCGCTCTTAATACATAGCCACTGTTCCATCAAGTCAAGTGGGTTCAAACATTTCAAAGCAGCACAGCTTGCATTTTCGTTAACTTATACGAAACAAAAGTGAAGAAAATAAGTTCCGTTTAGATTAATGACACTTGATTTTGGAATAAAAACCGCTGCTAAAATACTTAAAAAGCGAAATTATAAATCCAATATGAACTTCCAAATATTGAATTACATTTCAGGAAAATTTTACAACTCGAAAGTGCAGGTGTCACAACAGCAATTTTGACAAATCTTTTTTTATGAATTATTACAAGGATGTGGTGGCACTCGAAAGGTCTAACATTGGTGAAATATCGCGCCTAAAATAAATACATCGTTTGTTTCGAAAATTTCGTCCTGACGGTTTCAACTTTGAAGACGAAGAATGTAGCGGAGTGTTTCGCCACACATAACGATAAATTGAGAGCTTTGGAGGAGGCAAATCTGCTCAAACTTGTTCGAGAATCTGTAGAAGAACACCGCATAAACGCTAAATTTCGGAGTTTGCAAAGATTATACAGAATTCTTTTTACTTAACCGCTTCTAGCGGCGGTATGATGATGTAAACATACCCAATGATGTAAAGTGATGTGTGTAGTATCCAGTGTTATTAGAAAATGTAATGGTGAGTGCTGCCTCATTTAACTTTAATATTATGCGGAAAATCATATTATGATCAATTTCCTTTATTTTAATTGTTTATTTATTTTCTTTTATAACAATTTCGTCCCACAATTTTTCTTTTCATCGCGTTGCTTCTACTGTTGTATGGTCTCTAGAAGAGCTACCTAGGGTTGGAAAGAAAGTTATGGGACACTTTAATGAGCATGAGATAACTCTTGAGCATCTCATGAAAATATTACAATTCCTCATGTGGAATTTTTCCACTGAAGGCTCAGATATTAATGTTTTTTGTTTTCACTTTGCTACTATTCTCCGCCATGTTCAGTGCTACAAACGAAATTCGTGTTTTATTGCGTAATTATTGGAGAAATGGTCTTTCTCAACGAGGTGTAGTCGATAAAATCAACGAAGTTGAATACCAGCAAATATGCTGCTGGACCCTGGCTTCAATGCTTCTTAATGCCGGAGATCTTGACCTCGAAGTTGAGTCTCGTTCAGGACGTCCAACAAAGTTGAACAACGAAGATTTGATTGCTGCTTGGGATGACAAACCGTCGTCAAGTGCTCGCGATTTAGTGATCAAACTTGATGTTTTTCATACAACTGTGCTATCATCTCTGCAACTTAACTTCGCCCACAAGAAGCCACGACAAGATCCGCATGAACTCACTGAAGCACAAGTCGTCAAAAGAGTCGAAAATCGTAGCCAGCTGCTCAACAATCCACTGAATGACCGATTTTGGAAACGAATTGTGACTTCGGAAGAGAAGTGAGTGCACCTGGTCAACCCCAATCGAGACAAGCAGTGGTTCAGTTGGGTCAAGCTTCGCCGTCAGTCCCGAAGCACAAGCAATTTGGCAAAAAAGTCATGATCTGAGTTTGGTGAAATTTTGAAGGAGTCGTATGTTTTGAGCTGGTTCCGAGCGGCTAGTCCGTCAACGCCGAGCTTTAATCTGACTGACCGATGACAGAGAGTCGTATAAAACGATGACTTTATGTTTAAGAATAGGTATCATTGTTTTTGTTTGGAATTTATGTATAAATCTTCAGTTTTTGAAAATGCCTCAGACCTGTTTTTCCAACCTTATTTCGCTGCGAATATCCATAAACCTGTATTTGTTATAAAATGTTATGAAAGACTTTCGACAGTCTTTTTTTCCAGATAGTAGTACCTACTTGACAATTCCAGGACTCAATTTCTATCAACCTTGACATCAATCGAAATTTCAGTGTTCCCTCTTGATAAATGGATTCGGCTTCTACATCATCCGTGAGCGGTCGGTTGATTTCTTTTTCCTACTTCTG